TTCCCCAGACTCATTATAATATGAGAGAATGAGATTCCTCTGTTTTAAGGTAACAAGTTACTTGGGGAAGAACCAAGAATGGCTGAAAATGGAAATGTGATTACTATGGAACAGAAGTCCAGAGGTGTAGAGAGAGGACAACGTGAGACAATGGATCATAGGAAAATCTCACAGGCTATCAGGGTAACTGAAGATAAGAAAGAAGTCTTGTAGTTATGACTGTCCCTAAAGGTGACAAGAATGAGGATAATTAAGTTTTTTGGTTTCAAGTTTCCAAATGGAACTTTGTTTCTAAATCATCAATGTGAGGCACCATATTAATGGGAATCCTATTAATACAGATAAATACATGGCGTTTACTAAAGGCAAATTACATTATGACTCATTGGTCAAGTCTGTAGATTATTGGGAGCAGGGTTTAGGGTGGAAAAGAAAGAAAAAAAGGACAGACACACATGTATTTTTTAAAAATTAATAGGTCATTCAGACTCCCATTACCATCCCCATCTTCCAACCCAAACTGCTGTTATAAATGCTGAAGACAGATATAGATCAATGCCCCAGATGGTGATTCTCAACCATGTATCAAAAAGCCACATCACCTGCCTCAGGTGTTTCTGCCATTCTCCTCCACAAATCCCTTAAAATCTTCTAGAGATCAAAAGCTGTGAAAGTCAGGAAAGAATGAGGTTTAGGAGTATAAAAGGCCTGGTGACTACTAGCAATCGACAGGTTTAGCCTTAAAGAGAAGGACAACAATACATTTCTCTCAGACAAGAGCTAATATTGAATGAAAAGTACAGGCAAGGTCAGGAGTGAAGCAAAAAGAAAATGACAAATTTCATACCCCCAAGCTTCACATTCCTCAGAACAACAGGAGGCTAGTCATCTGCTCCAAGTAAAGGGAAAAGAAATAGACCTGAGACATGAAAAGAATTAAAAAGTTATGAAATAATCACTGTGGAGAAAAGGAAAAGCAACAAGAAGAGATGAGTAAAGACACCAAACAGTATCAAGGGTCCACTGAGGTTAAAAAGCATGAATCTGTTACCAAGGCCATTAGTACAGTTTTATATTTTCTTCAAAATGGTCTGGAGACCACAAGAGCATAGTCAATTACAGTACAGGAAAAGTGCTATAAGAGGGCGAACAAAGAATGCCATGATGTCAAAGAAGAAACACTTGAGGCTCGGTGGAGGCTATAAATTTTGAAAAATAAAAATTAGCCAGGCTTTAAAAAAAAAAAAAAGGGTGAGTCTGATAACATCTGCAACACACTTTCTGCCTTGGAAAATTAACGCTCTGTGTTGATTCGGGTACTTAAATAGTATGAGTTCATTGTTTCTCTAAAGCTATTTGAACATTAAATTGAAACTTCTTATAAAGAAGACTTTCTTGAATCTGCAGTTAGATGCACAAGATGCCAACATCTTAACCTTTACGTTTTTCACAAGGATAAAAAAATCATATTGGTAAATCATATGGGTTTCACGTTAAACTCATAAAACAACAAACTGATTTTATGCAGAATTACAGTTAATAAATGCCATGAAAATTCTAAACAATGACGTATTATTCTAAATTCTTTTGCTGGTACATTATGCCTATAGTAGGCGCTCAATTGCAGTTGACTGCTTGACATTTTACCCAGCAGCAAGCCAGAGAATGCTTGTCTTCACTGTGTCGGAGGATACAGCACCCAAGGCAAGAAACCACTGAATTTACATGATCTTCAGAAAATCAAAACAGAGACCTTCTGGGTACAGGGATGTATGCAGAGGTGAGGAATTCAAGAAACTATTTCTCCGAAAATGTTTCTCTGAGGGAAACCAGTATTAGCAACTTCTCTTCGTTTTCAACAATAAAAAACTGCGAACTATGCCAGGGGTCCCCTGGCCACAGATTCATACCGCCAAAGGCCTGTTAGGACCCAAGCAGCACAGCAGGAGATGAGCCACGGGAGCAAGCTTCATCTGTATTTGCAGCCTCTCCCCAACGCTAACATCGCCTCCTCAGCTCCACCTCAGATCATCAGACATTAAATTCTCCCTGGTTCTAAAAAATGTTGGGGACCGCTGAACTAAACGAAGTTCAGAAAAGCAGGCTTGACCCTCACCCTGGAGTTCACGAGCCCCGCCCTCATCCGCAGAGACCGTCTACAGCGAGGTGGAAATCTAGCTCTGTTCCGCTCCTCTCATTGCTGAGGGAAGGTCGAAGCCCCAAGAACAGTCTAGAAATCTCTGAAGCCACCCAGGGCATCACTGCAAGGGAGGGCCCACCCCTGGACTTGCTAGTATCTAAAAACCAACCTGAGTGTCCTGGCTTTGCCACAGCCCCATTAAGTTTCACCTCCAACTTATGAAGTTCTTTTCTCCCCTAACCACAAGACCTACTCACCTCCTTTTCCTGCTTTTCCTCCGGTTTCCACCACGAATCGGGTAGCCCCTGTTACCTGATGACCACTACCCTGGCCCGGTGTTTACATCCCGCTTGCCCTTTGAACACCGGAAGCGGAAATCATCATGCCTGACCTCGGACCGGCCTACCTTCGGTGCCTGGTCTCCCAAGATATGCAGTTGGATGACCTGGAGCGTCAGAAAGTTCCAGAGAAAAGGTGAGAGAAGAGGCGACACTCAGAGGCTTTCTTATCCGCCGATTCCTTCCCCTGGACCACAAATCCCAAAAGCCACTGCGGCCACCCCTACCCCGTTACCCTCTGGGAGTTGTAGTCCTGGCCACTCGGGCAAGGCGCTCCCTCTAGCTGCAAGAGTGCGCGGGTGCGCGCAGCGAGGCAGTGCGGGGAACTGCGCCCGCGCAGGCTGAGGTGCGCTCCAAGAGACGCGGGTCCCGCCAAACTACGGGTCCCAGCAGGTAAAGCCGGCCAGGCGTGGGGAAAATGATTTGCGGGAATTTCAGAACACTAAGATGTGACTCTGCCCTAAAGCACTTTCCACCCTAGCTGATGAGGCCGGCCACACACAGAGGACAGAGAGAAAACTCATTGAAAAAGGGCTTGGGGGTCAGATCAGAGAGGGCGGTGGCTGAACTGTGGGCTTCCCAGTCAGAAAATACAAGTAAGTTGCCTGAAAAAACTGTGGTTCGTGGCTTGAAAACAAGTGAGGAAAAGTAACACAGGGAAGTGTTTAGGAAATTGAAAAATTAAAGTTGTTAATTTATCATTGTAGCTATCTTGTGCAAAAGCGGGGCCATTTTTGTGGACCAGGCGCTGGCTCGCTCTCTCAGCACTATAACATTTCAAACTGGATAATTCTTTGTTGGGGAAAGAAGGGCTATCCTGTGCACTGTAGGATGTTTGGCAACATCTCTGGTCTCTACCCACTAAATGCCATTAGCATCCACTACAACCACTGCCAGTTGTGACCACCAAAAATGTCTTCAGACATTGCCAAATGTTCCTGGAAGAAAAATCGTTCCACCACCCCTATCCCCTTAACCACTGATTCTCCAAAGATGATCCTCAGACCCCCAAGGGTCGCTGAGACCCTTTGAAAGTCAGAACTATTTTAACACTAATTTGAAGACATCATTTGCCTTTTTCGCAACGTTGACATTTGCACTGATAGTGGAAAAGCAATAGTGGGTAAAACTGCTGGCACTTCGGCAGGAATCAAGGCAATATAAACTCTACTAGTCACTGTATTGTTCACCACCACACACTCCAAGTAGGAAAAAAAAATGCAATCACTCAAGAATGTCCTTGATAAAGCAGTAAAAATTTTATTAAAATGACCATTCTGTATGACAAAATGGGAGTAGTACTAAGTACTTCTGCTATATACTGAGGTATGATGTCTCAAGTGAAAGCACTTGTTAGATCGCATCATGAACTAAAGTAGGTACTTTCTTTGTGGAATACAACTTGTACTTAGAACGACTGACAGACCAGCTGGTTATTCAGGCTTGAGTATTAGACAGGTCTGTTCTTAAAAAGGAACAAAGGGAGCCTGTTACCTCAAGTAAGCAACTGATAGTGTTGCCAATGATAAAATTCAATGATTAAAGTAGAAATTGTCATTTAGGAAAATATATTTGCCATAATGATCTTGACAGCTTCCCAATACTTCCATACTTTTGAGGATATTAGTTGTAACATCAGATATGATTTTTATTTGTTGTTGGATTAAATGTATCAACATATTAAGAGCTGCATACGCAAACCAGTATTTTCAAAATAATCAGTGCATGATTGTGGTAGCCAGTCTCCAAGATGGCCTCCTATGATCCCTACTCCTGACATTCAGTCTTGTGTAGTTCTCTTCCCACACTGTACCAGGTTGTTCTGTGTTGCTTACAAAAGACACTAAGATGGTGGCAATATTTCTTAAACTGAGTAGAGGTTTACATGGCCATGTTCACTACAAACCTATAACTGAATATTTGAGCCAAATCTATGGTTTGTGCATTTTTCTATATATACCTACAAAGTCTTTAAAATATATATCCCTAACAAGACATTTAGAGCAAGATTTGTGCCTTATGGTCATATTTGTAGTACTTGATTCATAGTAACCAGCTGAGGGGATAGTTTGCAGAATAATTAAATGGTGCTTGAAGGGTCTTTTCTAAATCTCTCAAATCATCTTAATCCACTCCTCTGATAAAGGCTACTTTAGTTGACATTTATTGACATTCACAATAAATAGAACAGTTCAGTCCTGATTTTCAAACAAGATAATTTCTTGTACAATTGTGTACTGTCAGGTTAAATACCTAAAATAATTTATAAGTTCCCTAAAAGAACAACTCTATGTGCTGTTCATAATAGTCTTTTAGTATTGTTTTGTGACACTTAGCAAGCTATTTTAAAGATATAGAATGCCAGTAATCTAGCACAAACCCTGCCTAACAATGCCACATTGCATACAAGATATACTATTTGAATTCTAACACTAGTGGAATTCTAACCAAATCCAATGTTAGCAGCCAGTGATACAAGGTAGCTGCTTTGGCTTTTATCATATATATATTAATATTGTTTAGGTGGTTGATTTTTAAGATGAAATAAAAACTAGTTTGAGACAAAAATCACAATATTTGAGTGTTAAATTTGTTCAGGCACTATATTTTATATTTAGGCACATTATTTAACCCATTTCCCATTTAGAAAAAAAGTGCAGCTCGCTGCCAATGTTAATTTAATTTTACATAAACAATGCTCTTTGAGGCTGAAGCAAATCTGACTGGTTTTCAATGTGAAAATAAAATATAAAAACTGTTCTTGGAGTTATTTCTAAACAGAATTTGTCTCTAATCCTAATGTAACAGAAATGTATATGATGATCAGTATGGTAAAGTTCAAAGCATAGAGCAACACAAAGTGGAACATCTAGGATTTAACATTTTCAGCGATCACGAATTACTATATTTTGTAAATGCAAATACCACTACTAAAAACAGAATGCTATAAATAGAATGATGTCATTTGTTTCCAAAGATTATCGATACTAAAATCATAATGAGAGCAAGATATTTTGTGGCAAAATTTAGAGGTAAGGTTAGGACTGTAATCTGTGAGTTATCTCGGGGTAAATGCTGCAGCCGCTGCCGCCACCGAGTATTCTCTGGGCAATCGAGAAATGGATTAAAAAGGTGCACAGATGGTCAACTATAAACAATTGTTTGGTTGTTTTTTTTTTTTCATTTAGTTTCCCCAGTGGTTAAAAAAGTTAAGCACATTGTAACAGATGAAAAATGATGTTATTCTTTATTACTCATTTACTATATCCATGTATTTTAACTTTTATAAATATACTCCATTCAAAACAAACATAAACATGTCTCAGAATAGTGTACCACAAAGATTGATTTCGACCCTACTACCAATTTACCAGTTATGTTGTGTGTGGAATTTCATTCATTTGGTCAGGAGAACTCACAAAGAAAATGAGATTTCTGTTGTAAATGGGGGAGATAGGGAAAAGATTTAAACACATTTTTCTTTCATTTCAAAGGTGCCAGTCAGAGCATAGATGCATGGAGTTCCACATCTAGCCACAGTCCACAAAGCATTAATTCAGTGTGAATGGTATCACTACAAGGTCAAAAGGGTGGAGGTGAGGGTATGAGATTTTTGTATAAAATCATTTAAAACTCTGAAAAACTACAAAGCATCGCAAGAGAAAATATAATCAAAGTAAAAGCAATGGAGTTTATTTCAGTGAAATTATTTTAAATTAGATATGATATATTAAGCTCCCATATCCCCCAACCTGGTAGAAAAGTTCCTCTCAGTGAGAAATCATTTATTTTCATGGCAAAATTTTTACATATCAGTAAAATCTGTTATATTTAAAACTATGTATACAGTACATTTCTGGCAAAAACCTTATACATCTTTCAGTTGTCAAGACAAAGTAAAAATATGGTTGCATAAAAACACAAAAAATATAAATTGCTGAAAAAATAAAAAAAGATTAAAAATCATTTGTATTGACTCCCTTACATCTTCAATTAGTAAGAATTTGCAAACTACAATGAATTTTTGAAAATTCTGATGCAACCTTGACATACTCAACCAAAAGTTGTCATTTCAAATATCCCAGCTTAAAAAAGAATTTACTGCAATAGTCTGTGCATTTATTATACTATTTGTACAAGTGCAATATTTAAATATCTTCAAAATAAAACTCAGTAACTAAAAGGAATCACAATAACTTAAAAAGAAGCAGTTTACAAAATTAACAATTTTTAGAAGGTCCTATTTAATTGGTTCTTTTTGTTCCCCCCATCCCCACAACAGCTTATAGAGACATTATAAGTCTTAGTTCTATATACAAATTTTTAACTTTAAAAATACAGTCTCCTGTTCTTAACATCAGGAATAATGCTGCACTTAGAGAGCCTATGTAAAATAAACATCTTCAAAACAGAGGGCCACATACAAGTTATAAATACAGTTTTGAACTTATATTTAAATGGAACTCCTCTTACTTTATACAGCTTTCAGATTCTTAATTGAATAGAACAAGCCCTGGACAAAAAGAAGCCAAGATTTTTCTTTTGAATTCAGTGCATGTTTCTTGGGGTTCTGGAGCCAAATCTACAGCTATAGTAACTATGCAAGCTATCACGACATTTGAGTACATCATTACCTAATTATACAGGTGCACACTGTATTTGCCAAAAACAACCCTACATTAATAAAGTCTGAAAAGACAAAAAAGGATAGCTCTGTCGCAATGGAAAAATGATTAATACCAAAAAAATCAATTTCTTGAAGTTAAAATAATGTAAGGCAAATATGGGTAATACTTATTTTTTTAGCATATACAATACCAATTTTATCTGAGGTGACTTTAAATCTTCATTTACACGTATTATGTAATGCTATTACTAAGAGCAAGAAAACGAAAATATAAATCAAATCTTAGGAAGATTAAACATTTTTAGGAGGTTCCCATAATGCTACTTTTAAAAGTAATTAAAATCCAAAAACAATTGTGACTATTTACAAGAACTAACCAGTCTGTTCCGTATTTATCAAAATAATGTCATACCTGACTAAGGAAACATAACCAAATGCAATTTTAACTGGATCTGGTTTGAAATAACCAGCTATAAAAGAAACCTGGAGAACGACTGGGGAAAACTAAATACACATGATTAGATGACATTATGGAATTATTAATTTTATAATACGATTGTTTTTTCAGGAAAAATATTATTTTTAGGACATGCTTGAAGTGTTGAGCAGTGATGAGTATGTCTGCAACATCCAAACGGTTCAGATATATGTTTATACGTGTATAACTGTATATGCATATATAGATATAAAGCAAATATGGCAAAATGTTAACAAGTGTTGAATCCAACTGGTAGATACACATGTATATACCCTATAGCTTTCAATTTTTGTTTTTAAAAATGTTTGATAAAATTTGGGAGAAGAACTCATCTGAACTTTTAAAGTTTGTAAGAGATGTTCTTTCCGTGCACTGAATCGATTTAAAAGATACGTAATCGAATGACAAGAAGTGTCTGCATACATTCAATACTGACTGACATGATAAGGAGAGAAATTTGTGAGATTGGCAAAAACAACATGATTTATTTACAGTATATGTAACTCAGGTCTTGTGACAAAAAGAGCAATTTTATACAGAATGTATTGGGACAAATTGTTAAAATTAAAACTTAGTTCCTAGAGTATCTGAATTTATTAGTTCCGTGTGTTTTAGACTTAACCAAGCTAAAGGAAAAATTTTCATGTGTCTACTATTTTTGATGTGACCTATCATATACTATAGAATATTAAGAGGGAGATATGGAAGAGTCATCCAGACCGTCCCTACAGTTGGAAGACACTTGCTATTTAAGAAGTTAAGGAACCCAGAAAATAATTCATCTATAAAGTTCTCTGGGGGTTCTAGGCAAATATTTAATGAATAAATTTATGAAGCAAATATATAACACATCAACATGTAATAATATATGAAGGCCTTTATGGTAAATTAATATTCTACAAAGCCCTGTGTACACTAAATATAAAATAGCCAAAAACCAAGTGAGCCTGAGAGACCTATAATTCACTGTGTATATTATGTTATGCTATATACTTACTGAACAATGAACGACAAAATTCTCTTAATTCATTTTTGCACATTAGGCTTTTCACTATTAATCATGTTCCAATCCCTGTGCAAAATGCATTCCAGAAGGCCAAACCTCAGTTATAATTATGTATAACTTGATTATAAATGGAAGCATTTGGCTATGATTTATTATGCATGCTTATTGCTATCAAAGAAATAAGCAGTTTTAGGTTTACTGTGCAAGAATTTTAATTAGATTTGCACACATCTCAAAAAATTCTATTGTGTGACTTCCAGGTCTTGGAGTTAAGTCAATAGGAGAAGAGTCAAGTGAGGTCACAGATGAGGTAAGAGAAGCTTCTGAGGATTTTCCTTGAGCCTCAGCATCTGAATCGTTCCTTTGGCAAGATCGATAGTTACTAACCGATCCCGATCTCTGTGGTGTAGCAGTCCCTGATTTGGCTTCAGTAATTTCATCTGGGTAAAAAAAATTTCAACTAATTATAATCCATTACACACACCCCCCAAATTTTTAATAATATTTAATTTTCTTCTTTGAGCGTGATCACTGACCAGCTATTAAGAGCATGTCTATTTTGAATACCTTCTCAAATAGAGGCAAAGCATAGGTGTTAAATTACTCACTTTTATACACAGCATGTATTCTGATGGCTAATCAAGATTAGATATAGTATGTAGCTACAAATCAATTTTACATTCCAAAATTAAGAGCCCAATAAACTAATAATGTGGGGCTTAAGAAACATTCTCTAGCAATAAGAATTAATCTTTCTATATTAAAATTATAGAAATGCACTTAAAATTTGGAAGGAATCTTGGAAATCATTTCATCCAGCTCTTTGTTTTATCAATAAAACATAAACTCCCAAAAGTTAAGGGATTTGCAATAAGTAACAAGTGAACAGAAATGTAAATCTAGAACCCAAGTCTCCTCCCATCTCAGTGCTTTTCGCTCACCCACTTTCTCTTCAATATTTGATTTAAGATCTCATAAAAGAGCAACAGTGAACGAAATGAACAAAATCAGGGAAATGAAAAAAATCAAGGAAAAACTAAAGTTGGGAACACAATACAAAAGCAATAAATAGTCATTCCATTGCTAAACTCAGGTGCTAATAAACCTAAGGTTGAGAATCCGATCCAAATACAATGAGAAAAATAAAATCCATTCCATATCTCAGACTACATTTAGTATTTGTTAGCAGATAAATACCACTTGGTCATAAAGATAAGCAGACAAACAGTTTTGGCCAGCTTATCACAGGTCAAACCTGTATCTTTCTGATACTATGTAGATACTATCTATGAGTTTACAAAGATGACAAAAAAATTCATAGGCGAATCTTACCTAATAATGCCATACAATCTTATAGGAATAAAAATAGCAACATACCTCAACTCAATTGATTTGGGCAATGAAGAACTGTCATTAACGTTTACCAAATTAAAAGCTTTGTTTGTGAGAGAACCTTTATTTATAAAGCTATACCCTTTTATAATGATGGGCTAGAGAAAGAATATTTACTTGAATTATAAATTAAATGTGTTCCAACAGGTAAGGTAAATTAGGTTTAAGAGCATATGCACATGAGAAATCTGAATTCATGTAAATTTCAAACCATGTCGTGATTATTGCACCATTTATTATGTCTATTATAAGCTTACTCATTCATACACATACACACACACTCACACACATACACAATCTTGGCATATAAGATATTTTTCCCAACAAAAACAAAGGGTCTGCTTTCTAGAGTTAATTTACCTCAATTTAACCAATCTAAATAATTAAGAAGGAGCTATTCTGGCAAACTACACATAATGAGAGATATATTTTCTAAGTATACATTTTCATTTTGAAACTTTTAAAACAGTAAATGAATATTCTTCATAGTTAATGTTTCTTTAATAAAATGCAAAAAGATATTTTAAGATCTTACAGTACAATAGGGTCATTATTTTGATGACCACTTAAAATTTTAAATATTTCAGTGATTTAATCATCAGGTTGTCTATGATTATTTATGGTAGTCAGTAAATAGAAATGTACCTATAGTTACCTAGCTAAATAAACCTAGCAGTCTAGGTTTGAGGTTAGCAATGTCACCTTCAGCTAATTATGATAGTTATCTTGGACATAAAATACCCTTTACTGAAAGAGAATTAAATTGGAATCATGTTAACTCTCACACAAATTATAAAAGATGCATATCTCTGATTGTCTCTAGTGTCAGCCTAGGAGGAAAAGGCTGATTCAGAGGAGAAAAATAACAAGAAGTCCCTACAAAACATTTCTCTCTCAGTGCCCTGCAGGAACCCTTACTCAGCAAATAATTTCCTATCTCATTGAGCTACTAATCAAATCTATTTACAGTGCCGCATCACTCAATTCTAAAAGCTAGTGACTATACTCTAATCCTTAAATGAAAAAAAATTAAATATCAGATATAAAAATTATTTAATAAAAAAACTTAAAAGTCAGTATTTATTTCTAAGTAACACATTTTTATCTTACCAAAATGAACCACATCGAAAAACAGAAATGTGGCAGAAACTATCACTTTAGGATCAGACTGCATCTGGCTTTGAGGATTCTACAAGATAATCTTAAAAGGACAAGATACTTTTAAGATTACAAGAATAACAGATTCATAAATGTTGACATTGAAAAGGCAAAAAAATTTCACATTTTACATTATTTTGCTATTGAGTTTCTAGGAACAATTCAAGAAGCTTCAAAAGAATCAAAGACTAAAAGACCGAGTTAACAAAGTAACAAAGTCTAATATGTCATCTATGGTGTTTTATGATGTACATACCATCAATACTACGGAAATCCAATAAGTAGGTCCTACTATCCACTTGGTATAACTGTAGACTCATTTTGGAGTATGTACTTGTCACAGGATTCTTCCTTCGAACACGCAAATAATATGGGTTTACAACCTACCAAATTGGTATGGACAAAAAAAAAAACAAAAGTCAAAAGCAATTCTTCTATAAAGCATTTTATATACTACAAGTTTGCCAAATGTGTTAATAATCATAATGTCCTTTCTTTCCTACCTTCCATTCATAATCCAGTTGTTTAATTGCTCTACAAACTTCTGCCATGATATCATTTGGTCGACTTTGACTTCTGATTCCCAAATGCCATTTTGCTTTCCTTACACCTTGGTGTTTGGATTTCTGTGGATTTAATTCATCAAGGGTATGGCGTGCCCTTGGTGTTTCAGCAACCAGAAATGGTACTCTTTCAGGATGGGGCCGAGTCAAATGGTGATCATCAAGAAAAGAATCGGGTGGGCTTGTCGCCAAGTAAAAATCTTTGGCCTCATTCATTATTCTCCTGTTATCTATTATGAGGTGGTAAGCAACTGCTAAAGGGTCCTGGTGATTTCTGTTATAAAGGCAGCTGAGAACCTCCTCTTCTGAGCACTCAAATTTTTCACATACTTCTTTTAAGGCTTCATCATCAATCATGGTTGAACTATATGATGGATCCTCAGGAAAGAGATATTTTGGAAGATCCTGTTTGAACCATTCATGTTCCCTGAGGGAAAATGGCAGGGTAAGGAGGAGCAGTGATGAAAGTAACAGTTTGGGGAATTTAGGATATGAATTCACTTATATTTATATTCATACTGTATTATTAATTTTTAAGCTGAGATTTTCCTTTTCTTCCTCATATTTCATTGTGTATATTGGGAGAAATGCTCCAGCCTCTCTCTGATTTTAAGAGGGAGAAAGCATTGCTGTAGTAACAGGAAAAGAAATATCTATACTTTAGATTACATTTAAATTGGAAAAATATGTAAAACACAAGAAAAATCATCGCTCCTTTAGATATTTTAAAATATAAATTTTAGAAAATTATTTGTCAGATGGTAAAATCATGCCCTGACATTCAGTCTCTTTTTAAGCTAATCTACAGCATATGGAGCAAACGGAAAGGAATCAAGCTCTAAGTTCTACACGTAACCTTTCCTTATTCTTCATTATCCTAATGCTTTCTTGTTTATTATTTCTAGATCTACATCTAATTTTTTTTCCTTGTTTCTCCATATCAGAGAAATATCCTTGCTGTCTAGCTATTATAAAACCAAGAGAACTTTATAGTGGGAAAAAAAGGAAGGAAACAATGATGGTAGATGAAACAAAGTTTTCAGTGATTTTTTTTTTTAAGTCTTCATCAGAAATAGCACGCCCAAATCTGAAAAGTAGATTTTTCACCATCACTCTTCCTTATTTAAACTATTTGGTTGAACCATATGAAACTGGCAATACTGATGAATTTTTTACCTATAAAACAACAATGTAATATGTGATTCGATGTCTACTACTGCTACTACAAAAAATGTCATTGATTATATTAAAATTTTCTCATTTCTTTGAGATAAACAGAAAATAGATTAATTCATGAGATTAGAATTCAAATAGCAACACAAATTTACTACTAAAAAGTATTAATCCTAATGAGACTACATAAAAGACAAATATGAAGCATACTATAAAAAATCTTAAAGAACCACTACAAAATCTAACACTCCACCAGAGTCCTTTTGATTTTTCATTAGCTTTTCCTTTTTAATTTAAAAAGTAAAATAATGTTTACTGTTACAGTTTCAAAACAAACAAAAATGAATAAGTAAAAAGTGAAAGGTCTCCCTCCTACCAATCTTCCCCCTAAAGCAGCCAAAGTAAATAAATGTGTCTATACGCTATTTTTAACATAAAACAGATTACATTATAGAGACTGTCCTGCAACTTTTCCTTTCACTTGACTTGTATCATTGATACTATTAGATCTGATAATCTCCAAATTGCTTTATTACCTGATATCTTTAATTGTGGCCCTCTTCATGGGATCCACCTGCAGCATATGTTTCAAAAGGCTAATCACAGAAGGGTTTAAATACTGAGGGGTATAAAAGATTCCATCACATATCTTCTTAAAAAGAGTTGGCACATGATCATCATCAAATGGAAGGGTTCCACATAATAAAGCATAGAGAATAACCCCACTACTCCATATATCCACCTCTGGACCTGCGTACAATCTGTAACAGGAAATACCCATTGGATTAAATAATCATTAGTAATTTAAGAGTTAATCTTTTAATCAAAACTTTTAAATATGGATACTTCATAAATAATTATTAGTCAGAATATGGTTTCTATAATCAGTGCTATGTACTACATGTAAAAATTCTATACTAATCCTATCAGTATTATCTTTGAAAACAAGTCAAATTTTTAAAATTATAGGCTATAGCTAAAATTCTGTTCTTACTTCCTTACTATGGTCCTTATGAGCTCCAACCAATACAGCCAAATCTCAAACAAACATATCACTGAATTTAAAACGATTGTTCTTTGGTTACAGAGGAGAGATTAAACGACATTTCATCAAATGAGATTGTTCTTTACTGATTGACTCTAAATCCACTCTCCCAAATAACCCAAGACATCCTACCAAGGTAAAAGGGGTCTTAGGCTGTGGAAGGAAGCCAAGCTAACTGCTTCACGGAAGATTCTAAACTCTTATTTGCAATATACTGTAGCCACCAACTAGAATAGGTGCGGACTACTTAGATAACCCATTCAAAGTCTGGCTTCAGAGTAAGGATTTCTTTAAATTGGTTCAAATAAATTGTTGAACTGATCAGTAAATATTGTTTTGAAAGTAAGTTTCCATTCATCCAGACCTCACAGAAAGATTTTATCCAAATTGGGAAAATTTGACCTCAGTCATGGCCCATTGCATGTATACATAATTACAATACATTTTTTATTTACTTAACACTGACCCCAGTATCTAGGTCCAGATAAGTACTGTCATCTAAGTACTTAAACATAATATTGACTTGCATACCAACGTTCTCCTCTCCAGAGTCCTTAATCTCTTATGCTTTATTCTTAAAACTGAACATTTTATGGATAAGAAAATAATAAGCCTTAAATGTCTTTCTTTTCACCAGAATTCAATACTATAGTTTCTACAGACTAATAAAATCTAGGAGTAAAAGGCAAGTATAAATGTATAGGTGGGGGTCAAATACTACCTTCCTGAAATTACTTCTGGTGCAGCGTAGTTGGGCGAGCCACAACTTGTTCTTAAAAATTCACCGTCTGACATCATGTTTGAAAGACCTGAAAATGCACAAAATCAACCACTCAAGATTTCCCAAGGACAAAAATAAAAACAAAACTCCATTAAATAATAAAATTGAGTTTGCATTAAAGTGATAAATCATTTTATTCTTTGCTCCAACAAAATCCTAGTCTTTACTGTTCCCAAATAGTTTGTCATTATGCCCTAAAATTTGTAATCTATTTCAACATTTAAAGTTAGTGCATTTTTAGAGTTTAATGAGTATATATAAAGCTGCTGGTTATTCTGCTTGCTAGAATAAACTTGGCATGATTAAGTTTTATTAATACAGAAATTACTATAAATAATGTAGAACTGGTGAGTGGAAGAATTATAATTGAAATTTTCTCTTAACCTCTGTTCTGATTCTTTAAAAAAATGTAATAATTTTGAAAATGAAAGTTCCCTCCTAGTTGTGCTCCAAAAAGACACCTCTGTCTCTTCAAAAATGCACTGTCTAAAAATAATTATAACAAGGAATAAGGAAGTCAAATAATTTAGTCGGTCACCTAAAACAAAACAAAACAAAACCAAAAAACAGCTCAGGACTGGCTGGATCACTATTCAAAACTGAGTAAAATATAAGAAAATATAAGCATATAAGCAAAAGAAAGTTGCAGATATTCATTTTTCTCTTAGGTTTAATAATGTCAATGGTAATTTATATAGGAAATAAAGAAAAAGTAAATTCATTTTTGACAATCCAGATAATGTTCCTCAAGCTGAAATTATGTTCTTCTCAAGGTGAAATTATTTTTCATTTAAAATATCTTACCTTACTTTCCCTAAATAATCTTGCCCATATACTTTACCTTCTGGCTTTCCAAGTTTGAATAACTCAATCTAGTCTCTCTCCTCTTGCTCCATAATTGTTCAAAAGAATACACTGGAAATAAGGTCACTAATTTCTTTAAATGTAATAGGCTCTTTCAAATGATGGCTCTACTGCCACCAACTTAAATTGTTTACCTACTGTCACGAAACTCAATTTTAAAGATATAAAGCTAAGGAAAGAGAATTCCTTATCTTTTCTCCTTTCTATATGCTCATGAACAGAATAGTAAGGATATACTTTGGGATAGTCTGTTACATAAAAGTAAAAGTTATCTGAAGAATTCTACTAACAATGTTTGTTAAACCTAATGAATATATGAAACTATAAAAGTTTCCTTACCAAAATCAGCTATTTTTGCATTCATGTGTGCATCAAGCAGGACATTTTCAGGTTTCAAATCTCTGTGGACCACCATATGCCTGTGGCAGTAATCCACACCAGAAAGGATTTGTTGGAACAGACGTCGACTTTCTTTTTCATCCAGCTAAGAAAAATAGAGAGGCGTCTTAAAGGAGTGTCCTTCAAAAACTTCTTCTACCTATAATTTTCCAATTTATAAAACTGTCAAAATGCATGAAATCTTCCAAATGAACCTCATTCATAAGATACTTTTGAAATGCAGAGGAGATATATGCAGAACACAGAAAGGCTAATAGGATCTTGGAATCCAAATCAGTAACTGAACTTTCTAAAGTTATCACTCGCATGACTACAATGTAATAGCTTGCTTTCCTTTATAGCTCATGAGCTATTTCAAACAGTTTCAATCTCTACTTGTAACTAAACATGTTTTCTCCTACAAATTCAAAACATTAAATCTTTCATCCTTTAACAAATATTTATTGAACACCTTCATTATTCCATGCACTGTTTCAGACACTTATAAAAAAGCAACAAATAAAACAAAGGACCTAATCCAGTTGACAAAAATAAACAATAAACAAATATAACACCAATGAATGATAATGAATTAAAAAACAATAAAGCAGGATAAAGGCACAGAGTTATGTTGTGGTAGTGATACTATTTTAAACTATGAGGAAGTAACATTTAAGCATTGTTAATGAATTAGCAAGCAATCGTCTGATTATATGTCCTGAAATAAAAGATGTTAAAATTTTAATTTTAAAGAAAAACCTTAATTCATTGATTTTATAAAATAAGCATTTTATCTTTAATCCGCTTACTGAAAAAATTATATATTACGCTGCAACTTTTAAAATATTCTTTAAAAATTTCTTTCCGTTTATCCACATTTTCTTATGTTTTCATAAATTATAATCATTACTTGGACATGCCTACTCTCAAGAAGTCATATTTAATAAATAAGCTATTGATCCTCTAGGCAAAGGACTCTAACAAGCAATTCTCTAAAACAGGACACAAATTAGCATTCTAAAACCAGATTCTTATACTTTAAATGACATGGGTAATCTGGGAGAAAAGATGAAATAATAATTTTTTTGAAAGCAAGATAAAAACCATCAAAGTACTATGAGATACCCTTCCTCTAAAAAAAATACTAATACATTAGCAACCTAACACCTTTATTTCTAGAAGAAATGTAGGTTCATTTTTTAATACAGCTTTATATCAGATATACTAAATGAAAAAAAAAGAATGTGTTCTAAATGTGGAAGAGAAGAAAACAATTGATTAAATAAAAGAGGTAAAATAACTAGATAGACTACAAAAATGAAGATTATACTATATTAATAATAAATACAGTACAAAGGATGAAGGAAGGGATATCTACAAAGGAAGATTAGAAAAGTCAAAGCATATTTCCAGTTAAAAATGGCAGACTGAACCTTTTGTCTACCTCCTTGAAATATCACCAAAGTGACATTAGCATATAACAACAGAAAGAGCAAGAGAGAAGGCAGCTGTAATCAAGAGGAGTCACCAAGCTGGAGAGTGGATGAACAGTGATAAAGACTTCGCCAACCAGAGGAAGCTGACACCTAAGCCTATAGGGATGGAAACCAATAATGAACTCTTCTACAAACAGAACCCTGGAACGACTCAAACTGGAAGCATTAGGAATTTGGAAGCATTAGGAATTTCTGATGGTAATTCAGAAGAGGTAGGCTGAAAACAGAATAATTGGTTGAAAAAGTTTTAAACTCACCCCTATTGGGGAATAAGACTGATGATTTACTCTTTAAAGGCTGACTCTGCTCTGTCCTCAAGGACACCAAAGTAGGGATGAGGAACCCGAAGGAAAACATAGGGACTCAATGAAAGTCAGTATACTAACTAGTGACGCTTGCAGGCTTCTCCATTCAGCTTCCAAGTACTGGCAGCTACGCTGATACCCTCAAGGAAATTGGAAAGTTTCTTCTGGAGCAACTATCTGATGCAAAGAAAGATATGTGTAATTACTGACATTTGGTGTACCCTAATAAAGTGGACAAGTCCCTGCCTAATCAAGCTATGGGGATCTAATCAACCACTGAGTTCCATGCACATGAGCTTGGCATTTAGTACCTCACTCTCAAATGAGTGGACAAACCAAGAATAACTAGACATCCGAGGAAGGGCCAATGCACAAAAGACAAAGACCAATAAAATGAACAGAAAATTAAAAAAAAAAAAAAAATGGAGCAGAGAACACACAGAAGGTACAGAAATGATGCAGGGAACAGAAGAAAAACTTTTTAAACTAATTTGTCATCTTCAGACAGATATAATTATTACATCTGTGAAGCAAAAATAAGCTGTTTAAAGAATTCAGAAAACAAGAGATCTTTGAAATAGAAAATATGACAGCTGAAATTTTAATATGCAATAGGTGAAAACAAAAAAAATCCTCTAATGTAAAGCAAACTGACCAAGAAATGAAAAACAGAAGAGAAAAGGTAAGAAAACAAGATACCAATTCAACTTGTGCCTGTTTCCATTTTTCCAGGCAGGACGGGGGGAAGGGGGGGGCGGCTACAGGCTACAGTGACTAGAGAGGTAGAATGAATACCTGAAATTTAAATGAACCATGTTAAGAAATGGCAAAATCAAAATTGATTAATGAATTTGATTTTGATGAAAGTAAACATATGCTGTATAGAACAGATGAATGATATAAATAACTTTAGATTGAGAAGGGAAAAAATTGAATTCTCAGTGCTAGATATGGCTCTTCCAGAAAGAAGTTTTTGCATACCATATAACCTGGATGAGAAAAAGTATGGGCAGGGAGCAGTGTTTGGTTTTTGTATCTGTAACTTAAGATACTGTTCAAAATGTCTTCTAAAGTTCCTTCCAACTCTAAATTCTTTAAGTCTAATTCCTACCTCCTTAATGGAGGCTGTTCTTACTACTTCAAGTACATCAGATTTCTGAAACCAAAAAAAAAATGAATGCAATTTAAATGTAGCTAGGGTTGACTAGCAAGGCCTAGATCTTCAAGTATTAAATAATATATTTTGTTAGGATTAAATATATACTTTAAGATATATATTAAAAGTATTTGTATGACCCCCCCCAAAGCATTGAGTCTGAGGATCATGAGTTCTGGGGTCCCAATCCAGTTCTGTCATTAAAAAACCATGTGACCTTGAGCAAATTTATAAACTGTGAGTCTCAGTTAACACATCTGTGTAAGTAGGCTAAGGAGATAATCTTTAAGGCCCTTACTAGCTCTAAATAATCTATGATTCTACACAAATAATGACTAAGGGAACTGGTTATTAAATGGACCTTTTAAGGGATAAGGTGAGTTACAAAATAGATACAGGATTAAATCAGAACTGCTTACCCTTCCATTTTTACAGATATAATCAAATAGCTCTCCTCCTGAGACATATTCCATCACCATGAAAATATCAGATGGTGTACTGATGACCTGGTACCTGGTGAGAGAAAACATTATCTACCAATATTAAAACATGTATATATCCATTCATTCAATAAATATTTACTGAGTACCTATAACATTCCAGGTACTGTGCTAGGAGCTGAGAAAAGTACAGGAAACAGAACTTCTCTGCCCTCCTGGAGTTCATGTTCTAGGAGCCAGGAAAACAAACGTTAAATAAATAAGCAGTATCTCAGGTGGTAGAACATGCTATGAAGAGAAATTAAGCAAACTAATGGGAATCTTTCATATGGGGTGTTCAAGGAAGGCCTCTCTGATACAGTAATATCTGAGCATAGCCTAATGGAAGTAAGGAAGTAAACTGTGCCATTATCTACAAAGAAGGTGAACGAGGTAGAGGGAATAGTAAGTGCAAAGGCCCCAGGTGGAAGCCTCGCATGTTCAAGCAATGGTAAGAAGTCTAGAGCAGAGTGAGCCGGGAGAGAGAAATAGGATGTGGAGTTAGAGGTAACTGGAGACCAGAGAACATAGAACCTTGTAAGCCATGATGAGGCTTTGACTCTCACTCTAAGGGAGATGAAGTTTTATGCAAAGTAGCCATGTGATCTGGCCTAGTAAACCGGTAACTATGGGAATAATGTGAAGAACTGACTGTAGCGGTGAAGGTGGAAGCAGAGGCTACTGCAGCAGTCCATGAGAGAGGTCAAGGAGGCTCAGACTAAGCTGATGGCAATGAAGGAAACGAGAAACAATCAGATCCTACATATATTTTGAAGAAAGAAATGGAATGGATGGTAGGAAGTAACAGAAATAGGGACATTAAGGATGGTTCCTAAGTATCTGCCCTGAGGAACTAGATATTAACTGAGATGCTGAAAACTGGGAAGAGTGGATTAAGGAGGGCAGGTTCAGTTTGGGCCGTGCCGAGTTCATAGGCCTTGTGGGCATCCAAATGGAGATGTAAAGCAGGCAGTGGACATGAGTCTGGAGTTCAGGGAAGGGGTTTCAAAGCAGATGTATATTTAGGGGTCATGAGCATGTGGATAGTATTTAAAACCATGGCACCTCAACAAATATGAGGTGAAAGTGAAACAAATTTTGAGTTATCCAGTTCAGTACAAAAGCCTAAGCAGTTTTGCATGTAAAGTTGAGAAGTAAATAAATTATCTCAAGACCTTACAATTGGCAACTATAATACAATAGTAATGTTACTGCCCTTTGAAATACTAAATTCCTGATATTCTCGTTTGTTATTTATCAGATGTAAGCAACATGCAGGAAAACCCTTTCTGCTGCATGGTCTCCAGTGAGGCTAACTGACATCATGTGGAAATTAGAAGTCAAGAGTTTTTACTGGCCAAATCATTGTTGGTTCTGCAGTAATAGGGGTTCTGGACATTATCTACCAAAAAGGCATTGATCCAGAAGACAAGAAAGAATAAGAAAGATAACTAGGGTAAGCATAACAGCAAAACAGGAACATAGGCTTAAGTGGCCATGAATAGGGTTAGATAAATACATGAACAGGAAGAAACTTCAAAACTCTCGGGAAACAGACCAAAGAAATATCAGTCATCTTTAAGTAGGTTAACAAAAATGATGAAAAAAATGGTATGACTATATTTAATATAATCAGATCTTACAGTTTAATTATATGAGGATGCCTGAAAAGCTTGAGGTTCTGAATTTCTCTGCGGATTTTTCCTACCACATCAAGGCTTCGAATCTTCTGTCGATTGAGTATCTTCACAGCAACTTTATGTCCAGTCAGTTCATGTTTGCCAACTGCAGGAGGAATCATTTTAATAAATTAGTGCCAGACTTGATTAATAACATAATTTGACATATTCTAAGACTAGTAATCTTAGCATTCTCAAAAAATACTTGAGCAAATTTAAGTTTCCTTTTAAATTCCTCCTGATTTACCCCTGAAATGAATGTTTACATGTTTAAGAGTGATTAAGTGGGAAAATACAAAAGAAACTGGTAACAGTGGTTTCTTTCAGGAAGGAAAGTTAGAAGGCTAAAGGGGAAAGAAAGAAGACTTACTTTTCACTGTATACCTTTCTGTACTTTTAAGTTCTCTTTATTTTTCATTTTTTAAGCTACCAGACATACAGATTTAACTTTTTTCTTTTTGTGTAACTCTATGGATTTTAAAACATAGAAATTGATGTAACCACCACTATAATCAGATACAGAACAGTTCCATCATCCCAAAAACCTCCCTCATTCTATAGACAAACTTCCTCTGTCCATAACCCCTTGAACCTTTTAAAATACAGTTAATGTGCATGTAGTTTCTATTTTTAAAAATAAGAAAAAAATTCAAGTGACTATCTTTCAATTTTGAATGCTATTCCAGATAGTCCATTGTAACAGTAGAATTTAGACATTTTCATAGAGGCAAAGTCTCCAAATATTTCACTTCTATTCACCCTTTCTCAAGAACCTACTGGAGAATATATATTTCATCAAAATCATAAAGGAAACCAAAAAGATGGTATCCAATACAGGAGAAAAACTAAGAGAATCCCCAATATGGTAATGAAGCAAAGTCCTAGGTAACATGTGTAGAAGGCAACAAATCCAGACAGAAATGTGACAGAGGATCCTAGATGGTTACTTTCATGGGAAAAGGAGAGAATAAACTGTCCTACAAGTTTGAAAGTATACAATATTATACTGAAAGAGATTTTACAAAGGCATTTGACGATGTGGAAAATTTAGACTTAGGTTCTAAGAAAATTAAGCAAATGAAAAAAATGAGGTAAGAACTTTAGGAAAATTAAAAGTTCTTTAAGAAAATATAGTCATATCTCAGACAAGAAAAAGTTAGAGTTCATCACCACCACACCTGCATTACGAGAAATATTAAAGGGACTTATTTAAGAAAAAGAAGGGTCTATGGCCATGCTACCCTGAACAAGCCCAATCCCATCTGATCTCAGAAGCTAAGCAGGGTCCAGCCTGGTTAGTACTTGGATGGCAGACCACCTAGGAAGACCAGGTGCTTAGGGGTAAAAAAATAAAAAAAATAATGGATTGTAAGCTGACAAGGTCCTCACAATCTGTGAGGTCAACCAAGGATTGCCTCACCTAAAAAAATGAAAGAAAGAAAAGAAAAGAAGAGAAGAGAAGAGAAAAGAAAAGAAAAGAAAAGAAAGAAAAGAAAAAGGAAAAAAATCAAAAATATGAATAAAATGGCAATAACTACATATCTATCAATAATTACTTTAAATGTAAGAGGATTAAATGCTCCAAATGCATAGGATGGCTGAATGGAAAAGAAAACAAGGCTCCTACATATGCTGCCTACAAGAGACATACTTCAGATGGAAAGATACACACAGACTCAAAGTAAAGGGACAGAAAAAAATAGTTCATGAAAATGGAAACAAACAAACAAAAAAAGCTGGGGTAGCAATACCTATACCAGATAAAAGAGACAAAGAAGGACTCAGCAATTCCATTTCTAGGTATTTATCCAAAGAAATCTCAAACACTAATTCAAAAAGATGTACACATCTATATGTTCACTGCAGCATTATTTATAACAGCCAAGATATGGAAGCAACCTAAGTGTCCATCAATAGATGAAAGGATTATGAAGAGGTGGTACATATATAAAATAGAATATTACTCAGCCATAAAAAGGAATGAAATCTTGCCATCTGCAACAACATGGATGGACCTAGAGGGTATTTATTATCCTAAGTGAAATAAGTCAGACAGAGAATGACAAATACCATATGATTTCACTTATATGTGGAATCTAAAAAACAAAACAAACAAAACAGAAACAACCTCATAGATACAGAGAACATCTTGATTGCCAAATAGGAGGGTGGTTGGGAGGATGGGTAAAAAAAGGGGAAGGGATTAAGAAGTACAAATTGGTAGTTGCAAAACAGTCATGGGGATGTAAAGTATAGCATAGAGAATACAGTCAATAATATTGCAATAACTATATATAGTGTCAGATGGATACTAGATTTATTGGGGTGATCGGAAGTTTTAGAAGGATCTGTCTATTCACTATGTTGTACGCATAAAATGAATGTAATATTGTATGTCAGCTGTAACTGAAAAATAAAAAAGAAAATTTAAACTACAGGAAAAAATGTCATAGTATTGTCTTAGCAAATAATTTTTACAGTCACAATTATGAAAACACCAAAAATGGATTTTTAAGTATAATATAATTTTATTAGGAGGATGAAGGTGTAGAGGAAAAGGTTTTAAGAGAACTGAAATCCTCAACTACCATAACAAGAAGTCAACAAAAGTCTGTCAGTAAGAATTAAGATAGCTTGTATGTATACACGTATCAATTAGAAATGGGGAAGTTTTTTTAAAAAAATAGATAAATACAAGAAAAAACAGCTAACAGTTGAAAGTAGGATGGGGAATTCTGTTTTATAAACATACCTGTTGGCACTATTTGACTTTTTAAAATATACATGTGTTATTTTACAAAAAAAAAAATATTAATTTTTAAATAAGTGATTTAGGGTTTTAGCTTTACAGGAAGAAAACATTCTCTTCTAAATTAGAATAGTATGTAAGACCATTATCAGAGAGCTTTCCCTGGTAATCTTGATAATTACTAGCTAAAAATCAAGGGTAGTAATAACAACAAAAAAAAATCCCTTCTTTATTTGAATTTGTTATGGGCTGAATTGCATCTCCCTCCCAAATTCATATGGTGAAGCCCTAATCCCTAGTTACCTCGGAATGTGACACAATTTGGAGATAGGGCCTTTCAAAAGTGAGTAAGTTAAAATGAGGCAGTTCAGGTAGGCCCTAATCCAGCCCGACTGGTGTTCCTAGAAGAGGAACTTTGGACACAGAGAGACAGCAGGGGTACACGCAGGAAACCAGGTGAGGACAGAAGGAGAAGGTGGCAGCCATCTGCAAGCTGAGGGTGGGTAGCCCTCAGAAGAAACCAAACCTGCTGAAACCATGATCTCAGACTTTTCGCCTACAAACTGTAAGAAAATAAATTTCTACTGTTAAGGCCATTCAGTCTGCAGTATTTTATTATGGCAGCCCTAGAAGATTCATACGATATTTCTTATTATTTCATAGTTGAACGCTCAACATTGATTTTTAAACTTGTGTTTTAAACATCATTTTAAAAAAGTATTTTCTCATTATTCCAATCTTAATAGGCTTTCCCACTTGATCACGGATTTGGGATAGAGCTGAACCTGACCATTCTTTAAAAACCCCCAAGGATGAAAACCCACAGATACGGGCTCCAATGGTTTTCAAGAATTCAGCATTTCCCCCCAACCCGACTAAGCGAGACCGAGCGCTGGCTCCTCTGCTCCACTACAGCTGTGCGAACTGGAAAGGGTAGAGCAGGGGATGGGGTAGTTCCTCATTATTTTGAATTTTTTTAAGCATTTGCTATTTGGTTTAAATATTTTAATTAATAATATTAAATTCAAGGTCCAGTTATACAGATATTTCACAATGGGAGAAAATAGTCTGTTAAATAAGACTAGAAGAAAAATGTTTAAGTCAGAGTCCTCTCCCATTTTGCCCAGGTCCTTTCTTAACCCTCACAATACTGCCACAACACAAATCTTTCCAGCCAGTGAGGAAATGTGCAACTGAAACAGTCTACTCTAACCCAAAGGATCATCACAGAATCATAAGGTAAAAATGCCATTTTTAAACTACAATGTAAAAGGAATCCAAATTTAACTACCTTTTATACAGCTCAACTAGTCTTAAAAGCATCCATGGCTAAAAAATTATATCAGCTTTCTGAAAGATGGCGAGTTAACAATGCACTGGATATACTTCTATCAAAATTTCATTAAAATATACATGAAATCAGTGAGGAAGAAAACCCTAGAGTCATGGCTAAAAGAAACTGTGGAAATCAAGCACATTCTTATTTCAGGTACGGCCTTCTCCAATCTCTAATACCAATCATGTGATTGAGAGCAGTCTACTTGACTGTTAAAACACAATTCAGGAAGTATTGTCTTTTAGAGATCTAATTTATGGATACCTGAAAAAGTACTAATCTCACCTGTCCCAACTATCCCCCAAATCTCCAAGCCCTTGGCTTACTAGGAACCTTTTCCCATTAACTGCACAGCTGAAACATGACTGGGAAATAGGCTCCATACTGGATAATCCTGGCAGCCTGACACTTGGAAAGACTATTAAAGCAGAATCCATTCAGGCCTGAACTCCGATTCATCACAAACCTACCAGTCTCCTCTCATATTATACGCTGCTCGACTTAATTTCAACCCCACTTAACTTTACAAAATAACTGGGGCTTATCCAAAACTCTAGATGCATATTCTGTTGTTAAATAAGGAACTGGAAGAGGAGATTTAATCCATTCTTTAAATTTCCTTCATTTGGTATCATGTACTGAGCATCTACTATATGCCAGTTAATGCTGCCAAGGAAAACAGTACCAACCAAAAGTAACCTGGGTTCCTTGGATCTTCCTGGCCTCTGTAAGGTAAGAAAACCCAACAAATTTTACAGTACAAAAGAATGGGTAGAAAATGCATTAAGCTCACCCAAGAAATGAGTGTTTTATGAAAAATTAACTTTCAGAGTAATAAGACAATATAGAAGTTATGAAATACGAGTGGAGCAAGATGAATTTTGCAACAGAAAAATTAAAATCATTTACAAAGCAATAAGTTGCAGCAAAAATGTGACAAAATTTTATGAACATGTACCAAAAAAATAAGGAAGAAATTAGGAAGAATAGGAGAGAAGGGAATAGGGAATCAAGTAAAATT